CCCCCTAAAATAGCTAAAACTAAAAACAAACTAAAAACTACTTCCAAAAACATTCAGCTTTGATATTAATGAGTTTTTTGGGTTCATTGAGAACATGGTTGTTGTTCAATAATAAAATTATTCCTCAAAAATACAACTTGCCTAATAATTCTGCACTCCCTGTATTATGCCAGGTCACAAAGGCAGCAGCCTAGGCAAAGAAACCCAGACTCACCCATTAGAAGGTTTCTCCCTGTTAAAGGGAGATTTTCTTTTCCACTCTCGCCAAGTGGCTGCTCATAGAGGGCCGTCTGATTGTTGATGTTTTCTCTGTATTTTTGTTTCTGCTTATTGTTTTTGCCAGGCAACAAGTAGGAAATATCAGAGTTAATAAGAACGGAAACAACTACTGCTGCTTAGCTGTACTACTTTGGAAATGATAAGACTCTGGACTCAAAGGCAAATGTTTCCTTTAAAGCATGAATACCAGGAATATATTGTAATCAGACAACTTGGTCTTTAACAGCAAGAGACTATCTTGTGCTTCTTGATGTTTATTGGTTGTTGGCAACACAACCACAGACAGTATATAAAATATGGATGTAGGTTCTGAAATGTAAAGCCAACATACAAGTGCCTTAAAGTTGGATTATTTTAATTGTTACCAGTAAAATGTGTGAATTCATCAGGGAGCAAGGTCCAAAGAGAGCAGAAAACCTACAGAGCTCTGTCACTCTCTGGTGGTCGACAGGGGGATAACTACACTGTGAGCTTTATCACGCTCAGTGCTGTGCAGAGCATTAACCAAATTTTTACCAAGATGGCAAAAAGAAGAGTTAAACCTATTAACCTATTTCAGTATGAGTCCTCTGTGGATGAAGAACAGAATGCGCTGTTTACACTTCAGTTAGGAGAGCTGTCGGTCTCTACTGGAAAACAGAGGCAAGTGCCGGCTTTAACTCAGAGCTGTGAACACACGGTTGTATTTTCATTAGAACTTTTTCAAATAATGTAACTGTAATTTAAAATTTATTTTTTTTTGTTATTTCTACAGTAAAGTTCACGCTTTGGCCATTTTTCTGTGCCATAATTTGGTTTTCTTAGAACAATCACACTCATAAGTGGAAAAAAAGTGTTCTTTCTCCACGTTTCTCACATCAAAATAAACCAGACTTTCAAAATTTACTGACATCAGTTGTGCATACATTGTTTTGTTTTGAAAAATTTCCACACAAAGGGACCAAAAAGGGTACATTATTTATTCACTGCAAATAATCCAAAATTAATTTCAGCTTTGAACTAAGTACCCTGAAAACGCAGTCGTAGCCATCATATTAACTTTAAACATAATAAGGGGTGGGTGCACCGTTCTTGGAAGTACTGCAATACCAAGTCGATGCGTGGAGTGGACGGAGCAAGCCCCTATTCCATCTCCCTGTTCCAAAAATCAATTTAATATATGGTCCCCGGATAGGGGACGTATCAGATATTAAACTGATAAGAACAGATACTACACTTGATCTTAGCCAAAAGGCCGAGAAGCGATGTCGCATTCGGCTCGGAGGAAACGGCCTGGTTCCCAGCGCCGTCTCTCTGACTCATGGTTTGGAAGCTGAACTGCTGATATTTTGTACTGAATTATCACACAAACAAGAGCAACCATGTTCCCTCACACATCTTATATCGCTGGGTTTGTGTTGCGGTAAATTTAACTTGCGAGCATTTATAACGCAAACGTTATTGCGGCTTCCTGGACACGTGACACGCTTTGATCCAATAGAAAGACCAACACAAATATCACAAATACTTTCACTACATACACGCTAATTATAAATACACGCAATTTATTTATCCATTTATAAAGTCTTTAAACTTTACTCAATGAAGCGGAGTGAAACCTGGGATGAATAAGGTGTTTTACAGATCGACTCATAATAAATATACGTCTTGTAGAGCCCCCTAGTGAAGAGGAGGGTAAACTGCACCACACTCAGAAACTGGTCTAGCAAGACTCAGGAGCTGAATTAAATGACACGGTCCTGGCTCAAGGTCTTCGTATTTACAGATAAATTTACAAATTTATTTACAAATAAATAAATGAATAAAATGCGGTTTAAATTATAACACTGAGAAGAGTCCAGTTGACTGACGGTGACAGATATGAGAGCCAAAACAGAATTAAGCGGGGGCAATGAACTGACATTCAGTTAGCTGGAACACCTCTCTTTCAGTCAATGTGGGAATAAACAGTTCTGTCTGTGAAGAAGTCAGTAACTAATACTGGAAGCTGTGCGGCTACCTCACCTTGACGAGAATTTCGTGTATGAGTACGTGTCAGTTTACCTGAAGAGTTTCTGAAGAGTAGCTAGTTAGCTAGCTAAATTGACCAGACAACTATGGACGGGAATTTCCGGCCCGGTAAAACTTGCTGTCAAAACTGCAGTCAATAAAATCAAAATTATCTCAAAAAAAGCAAACTTGAAATTTCGAGTTCTTAAGTCAAGATAACCCACCCTTTTTATTATTATTGTTTTGTATTATTATTATGATATTACAGAGACGGAAACAAGCTTCCACAGACAACAAAAACCTAGCTCCTTGCCCTACTATTATCTAAATATTTAAAATGATAAGGGCCATATTAACTTAGCCATGTCTGCTGCTGTTTATGTCTTCGGCCATTTGAAGGTCATATGTTTCTAACGGTCATGCGCAAAGTCGTGAGAGCGTTTGCATTGGAAGAAGCGCACAGTTTTTGACTTCATGACTAAAGCCCGTTAATTTTGCATTTATTTTTGAAAAGTATTTGTTCATAAACAAGATAGAAAATCGATTTAAGAGACTAAATTAAAAAATAAATAAATCAACAACATGTCATATTACAATAACTCTTAAACAGAACTTAATAAATAATTTAAAAACTATCTCCAAAAGTTGATTCTGTTCATCTGGACGTAGCGTTTTGTGGGTGAAACGTTTCGTCACTCATCCAAGTGACTTCTTCAGTCTCAGCTGACTGTTTCCCCAATCTTATAAACAGTACATTTGCATAATGACTGAGGGAGGGAACAATGGGCTGGGAGGTCAGTTTCTTAATCTTAATTATGCAAATTCTTATGACCATTGATCAACAACCACTGACCAAAACCCACTGATCAATGGCCATGAGTACCATTCACAAAAAGTTGGGGAATGGCTGCAATCACAGCATTGTAAGATGGCGAAAGATGTACCCTTAGGCCCCCGGAGCTCTGCAGAACTTCAGCAGGACTCTCCGCAACTTAAATGTAAAAGCGTTAGCTCTTTTCTCAAAAATGCCCTGGTTACACCATTAGAATTGTACATAGAATTTATATTCTCAATTTCTTTTTGGGGTTGAAGTGCCTGGGAAGGGATCTCAACCTCCACTCACATCTTCCTTCAGGTGATCTCAATGGGTCACATAATAGGGTGAGGCAAGGTCTCACAATGGTGTCACCCAAAACCTCTGCTGATAATGACCCACGCCTTTTTTCACACCTTGGTGCAGATGTCGAGGCACATGATCAATAGTGGGTCAACCCTGTTAAGAAACAATTCACTAGGGGTTAAATATCTGGGACTGTCCACCATTTGTGTTGATTCATGCTCAATCATCCAAGTAAGGAAATCCCAAAAAGTTAATTCTGTTCTTCTGGATGTAGTGTTTTCAGTGGGAGAAAAGTTTTGCCACTCACCCAAGTGACTTCTTCAGTGTCAGAAGTCACAGACTGAAGAAGTTGCTGTAGACCATCTGTTTCCAGGTCAAATGAGTTGTCCTTTCAGATATGCTCTTCTGCGTAGCTTGTTTGTATAAATGTTTTTTTTGTTACCTTTCTATCAGCTTGAAGCCATCTGGCCATTTCCCTCTGACATAACCAGGATTTTCACCCAGAGAACGCTTGCTCACTGGATATTTTCTCATTTCATCCCTGTAAACCCTGAAGATGGCTGTGCAGGAGACTCAGTACAGGAACAGGTGTACCTAATAAAGTGGTTGCTGAACGTATGAAGCATGAATTTACAGGACTATGCAGTAGTTTGTGCTATGTTCTTAGATTGTATAGATTTTCTGTTTGTTTTCCTATGCATATATTTTAATGAGTATTATTTAGCTTGTCTCCATTTCATCAGTTTTGATGACTCAGTCTTTAATGAGTGATGAAAAGTCTTTATTCATTCATCACAAAGTTGAAGTGCTTGACTGACTATTCATGTTCTGACAAATGTGAGAAAGGATTTGATTGTCTTTTGCAGAGGCGAGTCTGTGATATGAAAAATGCCTCAACTGTTTTCAGAACTGCATTAAGAGTGGTGAGAATTACTTCTCTGCTGTGACAACTGAGCCAAATCCATTACGAAAAACCGGAGTGAAGATTAACATTAGTGACGTAATTTCCGTCAAATATGGCGGTCCGCCCAGTTCCCTTCTTTAAAAATGTGATCAGGCAGGATTGAAGACTCAAAAAGCCCAGAGACACCGGCCATAAGGTCGCTCTGCATTCAGCACTATTGACTGTTACCAGCGTTGCTTGTTTCACAGTAGCTGTTCTAATTTTCTTTCCAATTTCCGTTTTCCCTGCCAGCAAAGCTGTTCTGACTCAGTGGAACCATTAGCTAACAGCAAATAAGCTAACACAGTCAGTTCACAAAATTAGCTGACTGAATTCAGACGACTAAGTTTTTATATTGTAGACAATGGGTTATTCTGATGTATTTAAAATATTTATTTTTGCATTTTTTGATACAATGCTCTGTATTGTATACAGATATTATAATAAAGGATAGTCTTTTAAATTTAAATAAAGACTTCTCTTGCTCAAGACCACTTAAAAACCCCCACTTACAATAAAGTCTGGCTCATTTAAATGAAATGTAAAGAAATGACAGGTGACTTGAGACTTTTGCAGTTATATAGTGAAACCAAACTGGGTACTAAAACTGGAAGTAGTCATGTGATGTGTAATGATGAGTGTACTAAAGCACTCACACACACTCAGATCCCTTACAGCACAATATTTATTCAACAATATACATTAATTTCTCTACATTTCAGACTTATGTTCATTTTTTTTATATTCATCTTGCTTCACCTTTGTACATTTATTTACAAGATTTAAAATAAGTCTTTCTCCATTTATATAACATCATTAGTACAGTGTAATCACATCATCCAGCAGCTTCCCTTGAAGCATTCATAATTGCTAATCTATTTAATACACCGACTGGCGTCTTTGAGCCACAGAGCAGCAAACTGACAGAAGGGCTCAACATGCACTCAGAGTCCAGGTGTCCATGGTCCTCTTAATTCACCCATGTAAGAGAAGTCGTTTGCTCTGTAGCACCACGCAGGGTGTATAAACAGAATCTTTGAATGGCGACACTGTTGAGGTCTTGCACCTTTAAAAATCATCTTAAATGCATGTGGCCCCTCCCACCCGACGAGGATCGGCGAAAGCCCGTCCACCAAAATAAAAAAATAAAAAGGAGAGGGTGGGGGAAATGTTGCATAGAATCAATTCTGATGTCAAGAACAGAAATTTTAGTGCTGCCATTTTTTATTTTATTTTTTTTAAATGTGGCTTTCTGATAATCTCCTGAGACCTTCCAGACCCCATTTTATATATATCTATATATCTATATATATATATTTTTTTGGTTTTAAAAAGAAAAAAATATAATAAATAGCTGTACCCTTTGACTTTAACAAAAAAAAAAAAATAGTATTGTGTTGGATGTCACATCCAACACAATGCTACTTTAAAAGAGACTAAAACCCTGCATTGAGTGTATTTGCACATAAATGGATGTCATTTCGATTACTATCTTGAGAGAGGTGGATGGATTAAAGTGCATTCTACTGTATGAAAACAAAGCCCACAGTTGTCACATGCAGGACAGGAAATGAACTTTATTTAAATAAAATATATTTTTTCCTTTATTGAAATTCAAATAGACTTAAGGATTTATAAGCTTATCTATGGCAGCTAAAATTTCCAACCACAGTCAAACTTTAACGTTCATTTCCCACCCTGATCACATGCAAATAACACTGCGTACGCACACACTCCCACACACACACTCTCGGACATTTGTCACTCTGTGGCAGCGTGCAGCACCAAAGTGGCTGCTGGTACCCCTCAGGTGAGGGGGAGTCGTGTGAATGACAAGAACACGTTAACAGTTTAAAAAACAAAACAAAAACAAACAACAGCCAAAAGGTGCCACTCGACTCACAGCAAAATACAGTAAATGGGAAAACACGGCTCGCCGAGAGCCACACAGCACGATGACAGCAGACAGTGGACCAGGTGAGAGTGTGAACTGTAGCTACTCTCCTCTCTTCTTCATCCTCCACAGTCCAGTCCAGTTCAGGAGGAGGAGGAAGATGATGTGAGGCCAAAGAGCTGACTACTGAGGCTTTTTGGCCTGAAATGTGTAAGGCTAAAGCACACACAGGACTCACTCAGGACCAGGAGCAGCAGCTGTGAGGGTTTCAAGCACAGGAGCACGAGCGTGTGGGATTTTCACTGCACACTGAACTGACTTTTATAAATATATATATATGTATATGCATATGTATATATATTAATCATTCATTCTCTTTTTAAACAAGCACTTGAGCAAAACATGGAAATGCAGTACAACCGCTGACTACTACAGTACACAGACGCTTCATATACTGCTTTTATATGTGAACAGCTATACTAAGTGATGATATTTTTTTTTTTTTTTTTTTTTTTTTAAATGGCAAATAAAGGTGAAGCTGCATCTAAGGGCACGTTGAACCATGTGTCTAGAGATCCCTTTTTTTTTAAATTTTATTTTAAAATAAGAACAGCAGACAGGAGAAAAAAAAAGAAGGCATTTTTAAATTTAAGACATCCAAAGGAGGGGAAACCGAAAGTCCTTAAGGAGAGGATGCGTATCGGCACATCTGGCAAAGACGAGGACAAGACTCGGGTTTGGCTCACCGGGCATTTCATGCCAATGAAACAGCCGGCGCTTCGCAGGGCACTAAACATGCAGACAAGCACGCCGTGCTCAAATCCCTCAGCCCAGACAGGGGGTACTACAGAAGGCCAGCGAGCACTGCGCGCAGATGCAGCCGTTTCACAGCAGAGATCTAACTCCATGTATGTGATTGAAATTGCACTTCCAAAAAATAAAAATAAAAATCAAAGCAGGGCATTTTAGGGACTTAAAATAATAACCCAAATGAGACTGATTGATATATGACAGGAAAAAAAAGAAGAAAAGTCTGATGGTTTTTGTTTTGCAGGTAAAAACTGCACATGATGGTACTCAACTGAAATGCAAGGCCAGGATATTCAGCCACACTTGTCACACGAATGCGCACAAATCTTTACAGTGTCGTCACAGCTGCAGTGTGAAACCATTTGCAATCCTCCCAATTGGTCATCAGTCTGATTTTGAACCATTCTGCATTCTGATTGGGAGACACGTGTCTGAGTGGCAGGTGAACACACAATGAGGTAGAACAAAATGTTTTATAAGCATCCAATCAGAGCACAAAAACAGGCGGTCAGCAGTGACTGCTATACACCTCCAGAGGGCAGCACTTCACCGGCTCAGACATGACGCCAACACACAAGCTTTAACACAGACCTAAACGCTCACTAACGAGTGCTCTTAGACGGAAGGATCCATTGAGCAGTTTGAACCGCAAATTTAACATACAGTCAGCAAAAGTGTGCACGGTCCAATGGAGTTATTCATCGAGATTCAGATTTTAAACCAAACCGCAAGACAAAAGTCTTCCCATAGCTGCACAGTATTTATTTCTCTAGATTTAACCATTTAAAATCTCGGGGAAGGACAAAGCCTCGACACCCTTCCAGTTTGGTTTTACAACAATCCTATTTGTTAGATTTTACAGATGAAATGAGAATTGTTTCTGTGACAAAAAACAGGTCATGGCCTTAACCCTAAAGAATCACTTGGGCCTGACAAACTACTGACACACACACACACACACACACACACACACACACACACACACACACACACACACACACACACACAAAAGAAAACCCTTCTTTGGACTCTGATTTAAAACATTTAAAGATCTGTTATTCATAAAACTCTGTCGAATTAAAACAAAAAACCCCAAAAAACAGCAATTAACAAGGAAGATAATCAGCAAGAACGATTGCACGTGAGCCCCGGGAATGAAGGAGAAGGAATGAAGAGACAGACCAACCAAGTCCCCCACTCTTCTCCAAATGAGCGACGGTAAGTGTTATTGCTGATTCATTTTTGACTGATTCAGTCTGGAAAACGTAATAATCTGAAATGTCACGGATGACCTACAGCTAGCCTGAAATCCTTGCAGATCTCCTCTCGTCACAGCCTCCCTTTGAGGAGAGTTTCTATGTGGAATGCTCAGCTTGGCAGAGAGGAGGACGCAGTGACACGCTGGACTCTTACACTCGACCGTAGTTACAGCAGGAGCAGCCGGTCACGATTCACTACTTTTCACGTTGTGCTGTCAGTGACTTCATCCACCCACGACGACAGCAGGTCTCAATTACAAATTTTAATGGATGTTTAACGGGGTGGAAACACAGCTCTGGAGATCTCAAATGTGTTTCAATTTCTTAGACACACACACACACATACACAGACAGACGCACAGGTAGAAAGACGTCATAGTCGAGCTGTAGAGAGTCGCGGAGAGAAACTGCATGAATCTGTGTGTGTTATGTAGGTATTCGTGCGTGTGAGTGTGCGCGCCATTCCCTGCACTGGACGTTAGACCTGTGATATGATCTGCATGTTGAAGCTGGGGGAGCGTGACTGCTTGGTAAGAGGTGCTCCAGGAGACAGCAGGGCCTGAGCCTCCTCCGGCCTGAGCAGGTGTTCCTCCTGCAAACTGATGGTGGAGTGCCGGTGAGAACCCCCAGCTAGAAGCCCTTCCCTCTCAGAGCCTCCTGCCTCCTCGTGTTCCTCGCCATTGCCTCCGTTCAGGTTGAAATTCGTGCAGTCAAAGGACTTGCTGGAGGAGGTGCTGCCAGTCCTCACTAGCATGGGGCCCGCGGGGAAGCTCAGGTGCTTCTTTATGGGGCTCAGCTGGATGGCGTCCAAGTTGATGCTCGCTGGAGGCGACTGCTGCCTCTGTTGATGCCTCCTCGTGGCGGCCTGAAGATCCGCAGACAACTCCACCTGTTTGTCTGTCTCCCGCTCTTTCTCCCGCTCCTTCTCCCGCTCTCGCTCCTTGTCCCGAGACAGTCGCGCAGTAATGGCTTTCTTGATGCTGCTCGTGCTGCTGTTCAGGCTGCCACCCCTGGGCCCCACGCTGCCGCCAAGTTTGGTGCCGCTGGGCTGGCTGCTGTTCGACGCCCCAGAGGAGAAACCCTCGTCTGGGTCGTTGATATTGAAGGAGTCTTCCCCGCCGCTCATACCATCAGCGTCTGAATGTGACGATGAATGAACATAGACAGAAGCAAAACAAAAGCAAAGAGAAATGTGAGTGAAATCACAAAATGCTGAGCTGAGTATGACCTGACTGAGCAAAACTTTTACTCTCATTTTATAAAACCTTCCAAACACTTCATAACTGCAAAGTTTCATAATCTATAATCTCGTCCACATGTCACAGAAGTTGCTGCTCTGGCTCGTTAACACAAAGCCGTGTCTTCTAATTTTTATTTACAGTGTTGTCAAATGGCTTGTAAAAATTTTAGCAGTAATAATGACTATGATTAGATGATTAGAAATACTCCAAAACAAATTAGCAGACTTAATTAGTTCCCCTTCTAAAAGTGCAACACTTTACGCTCGACAGACTGTGCTTCTTCATTATCTCAGTCATTAAGCACCAAACAGAGGTTCAGTTCAATAGACTGCATAATGACCCTGAGCTCTGATCCTCTGATGTAACACAGATTGACTGAAATCTGACCAGCTGTTTGTTTGGGCAAAGTGAGAGTTCAATACCCTGGCTCAAAGAGCTGAGTTTTTTTAAATCACAATATGCAATCGTCAATAATCTATAGCCTAATAGGCACGATATTTGGATAAAGACCTAAAGATTAAAACATTTTTAATCCATTTGTATCCTCACTTTGAAAGCTGAAAAGGAAAAAAGATGATAAAGTGTTAGAAAAAAAGCAAGTTATTGACATACAGTATGCAGGGTAAAGGCTGTTAAAAGAAGAGAGATGATCAGCTGTCTCTCTCTGTCATGCATCGTTGGGACAAGCAGACCCGGATGACAGGGAAACCACAGACAGCACCAGAAAAAGGAATGCAGAAAACTGAGAAGAAAAAGGTCTGGACTGACATGCACATAACATGAGGAGAAGACACATGCTCTCCTGCCCCATCCCTCGTCTCTCCTGCAGCACTGGCCCAGCGGTCACGTGGTTGGCCGGCCGAGATGTGCCTGCCAATCTGTGGAAAGCGCTGATGCGAGTCCAAACACCTCGCCAGATCAATAGCCTTCCAGTTAGAGCTGACAGCCCGCGAGGCTTAATGAGCCAGTCTGCAAACCACCACAGGCCAACCCAGTCCCCCCAAATGAAGAGTGGTATTGGTGATCTTTACCAACAAGGCTGCAGCCAGTGGTTTTTCCATGTTTTAGCCTTTTGACTACACTTTGCTTATGTCTGCTCATGCAACAGATTTATATACTTCCTGCCGGTTCCCAGTCATTTCAATGCGCTGTGAAATTTAGCCGGAAATATCTGAAATAACCATATTTTGTATTTCAGTTTTTAAGTGGGGAGCATTTTAAAAACTCTTCATGGTGCATTCAAGGTCAATCTGAGGAGCAGCATTTTAAAGTAAACCTGCAAAAATCATTGCTTCTGCAGAAAAAAGAAAATACACATAACCCGCAATATAGCTGAGAGGGTCAGTGTTAGCTTTGCAATTCAAAACAAAAATAAAGGGAGGAAGTGCTACTTAGCATACAAACTATCCATATTTTCCCTGTAAAGTTCAATGCTTTGTTTATGTTTAAAAGTTAAATCGTTGGTCACATTATTAATGAGGATGAACTTTGTGCTTTGCATAACAGAAATTTGGTGTTACAAGCTAAAACAGCACTTTTCAATCCGTAGGCGAATTTCATCTGCAGAAGTTAAGCTCACTGCACATAAGCATCAGAGTTTGTATTATGTAAAATATAAACCAACATACAAAAGAAGTAAACTTTAACTATATAATGATCGTCACTAATGGAAGATTTGTCCAGTAGAAGGCATTATGGGTAACTGTGTTTTTACATACCTGCGTGTTTGATGAATTTTGACTACAGCAGTGTATATTTGAAAAAGGACCTGTTTTCCTACCATAAACAGAGTCCATACATATCAATAAATACACATAAGGAATTCTTCCTTAAGAGTCTTTGATGATCTTCAGCGGCTCATTCTCATATGTTCTGGTTACAACGCAGAACGTATGAGATAGGATCGCTTTAGAACTAAAGAGGACAGACATTAAAGATTTCTAATAAAGACTGATATTTAAATTAATTTTCAGATTGTTTTTAAAACCACAAAGTTTCGAAATAAACTAAAGCTCCTGCATCAGTCGGGCTCTTTTAAAAATCTGACATCATCAGTTCAGAGTTTTTAAAACTGCCCCCACCTCAGATTTAGCAATATTAAAATAGCACATTTTATACTTTTACTTTGAAGTGATCTGAGCTGAATGAATAATTTCCTCTAAGGAACTCAAAACAAAAAAGAAAAATGGTTGCGGTGCAAAGAATATGCTATAAGAAGTTTAAACATGCAAAGGCACAAGCAACTTTCAATTTCAATGCAATGGAGAGGCAAACAAACAGGTTTCGACTTCCTGCAAGAGAATCGCAACTAACTGACTGCTTTTGAAATAATCCCATGTTTCTCTTTAATATGTGGCAGATTTCTATCTAACAAAATCATGATAAAGGATTCTTTCAGAGCGGCGTTCAATGAAAACTCACTGGAAGAAGACGAGATGGCACTCAGACATACACTGACCACAAGCCAGGAAATGCGTCTGACGTTTCAAGATTTCTAAACGTTTATGAATGGAAATGGACACACATTTAAAGGATGCAAAATGGGCCTACAATCCCCGCTCGAAATAGTGGACTGACGGCATTCAATTTATAACTTGGCCTTTTTTTCTGATAAGCTAAAAGATCCGACGTTTCTTGTTTGAGCAGAAATCACTGAAGCTTGCTGTAGCGTGTGCATGCAGGGCTTGTTTTCACTCACTGAGCTGGGGAAAAGAAATGCAACATAACGGAACACAAACTTAGGACAGAGTAAAGGTGCTGGACTAATAAAAAAAGAAAGAAAAAGAAAACACCACAAACAAATCGGAGGTTCTCTTTCTGCAGGGAAGGGTGGTAGCAGCAGATGGGTGCTGCTGGCCTCACAGACCCAAAACTTGATGCTATCAAACACCTCAAGGGGCGAGTTCAGAAAGAAGATGCCGGATACTCTGAGCCCGTTTTGTAAAACTGATACATATTCCCTGTCAAAGCTGTAGAAAATATAAATCAATAAACCCAATTATCAAACAGGGAGAGTTTGGAAAGCGCAGAGTAGAAGGTCAAGCTGGACACTAAACATGCTCAGTGAGTGACAAGGGTGGAAGTTTAACGTTGAAGGCATGATGAGGGGAAGAAAGAGAGAACATGACATGACGACAGGCCCATGCAGAACGGCCACTAGCCAACCACACTTCCTTCAAACCCAGAATAGGCGACTCTTCCACTCTTAAATGAGGCAAAAACATAGCAAAGGTTTTGCATTAGAGGGGTTGTTGGCTGAGCGTCTTATAAGACTGGATGAGTTAGTATACTCTGGGGAAGTGAAGAGGCAGCCACAATGGAAAGGGCAGAGTTAACCGCCTCAAGCCGAGAAGGGGTAGTAGGAGGAGGGTTGGGATGATACAGATCGAAGGGGGCACCTCCTCCTGAGACCCGCCCTGCTCTGAGCGTCCGCCCCCGTCCCCTACCCTCGAGAGTGATGGGGGGAATGATGCTGCTGCTGCTGCTGCTGTGGTGGCTGTGTTGCCGCCCTCCTCTTTCCTCTTTAGCCGTGGGATCCCAGTGGGTGCGGTGGCGGTGTTGGTGCTGGGCGAGGCTAGGATTGACGATGAGGCTCAACTCTGCATCGGTTGAGTAGTCAAAACAATCTGGGAGTCAACAACACAGATGAGGAAATGTGTCGCTTTAGTAGCAGCAAGCTTCAATCAATTCGGGCCTCATCATAGCCAGAGCAGGCCTAACTACTGGAAAAAATAGGAACTACCCCATAAATACTTGGTAAAATGGAGACAGTAGAAACTACAGGCACCATTTCGCTCTTCATCGTAACCAGTGAAACAAAGCACGTAATAGACAGGACAAGCAAAAACAGAGAAAAGAAAAGGAAAAAAAGAGCAATAAGGAGCAGTGAGTGGCACAAACACTGCAAACACAGACTATATGACCACAGTTGCATACAATAACTGACATGAAACACTATTTAGATGATGCTAATGGTGTAACTGAAGTACAGAGGAAACGGGTTTTCTTCTCACTGGAAAGGGGGGAAAAAAAACACCAGAGAAGTCATTTTCTCACCAAATAGCTCCTTCTTGCGGGCTTTTATAGATCAGGGAAAAAAGTAATAACCTGTAAGATTACAGTTTAAATCATAACCATGCACTTGCTTAACTTTCTTCTTCAAACTATCCTCAAGTGCTACGGATAATTCATGAGGTTGATGAAAGGGCGGGGAAAAAAAAGTAATCTACTCTGCGTCCAGATTTACTTCCTGCACTGCGGCCTGGCTCGCGTTCCTGTGTGCTGCAGCCAAGATGGCAGATTTTCAAGTCTCACCCTCTCTCTTCCAGCGGTGGCGTCGTATCGAGGCGGTGGTGATGGCCGAGATTGATATACGCCTGATGGTGGGAGTCACCTCCACCTGCAGCACCTTGCGGCCCCGCGGTGCGTCAGGAGCGCTTTCCGGCAGCGAGTTTTTCATGGCGTTCCCCAGCTGAAGTCGACACATGCACAGGTGCAGATCAATAAACAATTAAAGGAGCAAAGCCAGGAGGTATAACAAGATTTAAAGCCTGGTTATGGTTCGAATTTGAGGACAAAAAAAAAAAAAAAAAAAAAAAGGCAGATCAAAGCCATTATTTTACTTCATGGTTTTTATTTTGTCTCGGGATTTAATTATAGACAGGTGGGAGTTTACTGCTGTGCTGCAGGTCTTACCAGGAGAGGCTGGGAGTAAAGCTCCAGCTGGGCTCGGTACAGAATGTCCTCCAGAGCTTCTCGCCCCATCTCCCACTCTCCATTATATCTGCAAATCACAACAAAAGACACACACACACACACACACACACACACACACACACACACACAGGCATTTAACAATGTCATGCTGCGAGCCTATCTGGAATGTCTCACAAGGTGCCTTGACGTCTGAATCATATCCTCTAATCTATTATTAGTTATTTAGTAATGCCTGCAGCTACAGCGAGGGCGTGGTGGATAACTTGGGCACGTATCTAAACAGAGGGATTATACTCTTTGTCACGCTGTTGAAATGCAAGAAAATAGGCTGAATTTTTTTCCTCGCAGTGAAATAAAATATAAAGCATTTAGAAAAGCAAACTTTATGTCACACATAAATGGTTTTCACAGTTACTAAATAGAATACTGGCACATTAATGGCTGCTAATTTGTGTAAAATTGTGTAAATGCAGGATATGGAAACATATTATAAAATTCCAATTGAAAATCAGCAAAGACTGATAAACATGTATTTAACTTGAAAATGTCCAATAAATACTGAATATTATCTTTGCAGAGCAAGATACTGCAAGATACTACCTGGACTGATGACCATGAAAAAAAAAGTACTATGGAAATAATAAATTAAAATTGCAAAAACACCAGGAAGTGAATGGCTGAACTCTTTGATGTGGTCCTGCAAATGCAACAGTCATGCGAGCGGGGACAAATGTTCTGGGCTTCCTTTTAGTCTTAAGATCAAAAGAAATGGGATGAATGGGCAGGTAAAACAGACTCTGATGTTCACGAGGCTGAAAATTACTCTACAGTAGAATAAATTTCCAATCTGAACAGCACAAGTGAACGCTGTTTCTGTTTGTGATGTTCTGATATCCCAGCGCATTTTGCTTCCTCTCTCGGCATTAGCGGCCATATTAACCTAAATCCCAGACTGTCCTCAGCTAGTGCCAAGTGTGAAGCTTGGATTCATGTTCATCTGGCCTTCACGTGAGTGAGCACTGAGGTGACCTATGGTAGGGATTACTAAAAAGGCCATTATTTTCTGTCATCTAAACTCACACTCACACACAGCCCTTTTTTTTCTCCTTTTTTTTTGTGCATCGCCTGCTCCAACCTACTGATTTCTGCTCTGCATCCTCATGGAGGTGATGAGGCAGAATGCATGCTCATCCTCTCCCAACCGCTCTGCTACACCACTACTGCAACAGTAGTGATTCCAGTCACCATCGTATCAGGATATCCATATCTGAGGACTTGCTGTCATCGAGGAGCTATAATCAGCTTTGCAATGACTGTCCTCGTAGGGGATGAAATCACCTGCTTCCACAATGCGCTGCTGATGTAATCGCTCTCTACAGTGGGTAGCTTCTGCCCTTGGTGGCGCACTAGCATATGCTGTGAGGAGAATTTCTGCAGCAGCTCATGGCAAACTAGAATCAAGAAGACCCTCATTAGCAATGTTCCAGTGGCAAAAACAACATTATGTTGTGTTGCCCACAACGAGCAGCTGGCTACAGCCACAATAAATACAGAATCTCTTTTCAGCTTCATTTACACCATTCGCTCTGGCCTGTGCAGCTTCAGACTGCTCTCAGAGCAGTAAGGTGGTTGCAGCTCTGGAGGTAGATCGGGTCAGCTACTAATCAGAAGTCGAGTGTTTTTTGTTGGAAAAGGTCAACAGACATATGGGTTTGTTTACTAGTCAGAGGGTTAGTAGTTTGATCCCAGACTCCTCCAGTCAGCATAAAGAAATGCCTTTGGGCAAGAAACTGGACCCCAAACTGGACCTGATGCATTGATCCTTCATGAAAAGTCAACCAAAACCGATTCTGGCTTTAGCGGGTAGCTAAAAAGCTCTAAAGCCAGCTCAAAACTAAAAATAGAGCTGAAAATAAGTGATAATGTTCCTTTATAACAACAGCATGTGTATATTGCATATATAACAAGTGATGATGCATGAAACTTGTTTCTGCAGCCGTGGAACTGCCAAAAAAATCATAATATAATGAAATAAGCAAAAACCGAAACACTTTTCCTGCTTTAAAGACACGTACATGGCATGATACACTGCAGTCAGCATCTGCACCATGAACTCAGGGTCCAACAGCACTCGGTTGCAAGGTTCCCTCCAAAGCTTCTGCTGTTGCCGCGGGAAGCCGCATACACACAACCTGTGAATAGAGATTTTTACTGGTTAAACAACATCCCTTTAACCTCTGTGGAAAGCACACATCAGATAAGATGAGGCTAAATGGGAAGAACAACTAAAGGAAACATCAGACACTTCCTGAGGAAACACATCAAACACTGAGCGAGGGGAACAAAATCTTAACTTCTTGAGACTCATAGAAGGTTAGGCAAGGTCAGCCAGCAGGGCGCTCACGTCTTTACTGTGAGGCTAAACTGAAAGAGTGAGTGCTGTTCTCGTGCTCTGAAGTCTTCACAGTCACAGTTTGCCATCTGTCTAGACTAGACTGAGCTTGCTTCAGGCGTTGTCTGTCTGATCGGTCACAGTAGGCAGCGATTCATATCCTGAATCGTCTACATGCTGCGGTGGAATAATTATCTGCGTCATATTGTGAATTCCACATTGATCCTTTCTCCTTAGGGCGTCTCAGTGTTTCCAAAATAGACAGATGGAGACAGGTATCCAGCAGTAAGGTTTTTGATTGGCCAAAAGCACAGTCAGTTCAACTCATTTCAAATAAAACTGCATTTATCAAATCCTCCTGCAAAGATGGCAGTCTGTACTGAGATATGGTTACACGGCCTATGAGGTGTTTTAATCCTAATTTCTGGAAAGCAGGTAATACAAAAAATGTGTCATTGCAGAGGCTGGTTATCACTTGGGTGGAGAAAATGCAAAACAAAAGAAGGTACACGCGTTTTTGTTTTTCTTACCGTGAGCTCATCCTACAGACTGACTGATAGGAAGAAAGGGGCATGTAGACCACAGCAGAGTTGTAGCAGAGCATGAGGAAACACAGCACCTCAAACCTGCAACCAAAAACACACTGTTAATCTAATCAACTTAGTCCAAAAAAAAAAAGTTGGGAAAAAAGGAAATATCACTTTTAATCAATATCATACCTTTAAAGTATGACACTTTCACTGAGAACAATTATGCAGCGTGGTTCAAGCAATTTATCAACTCTATGAAGTGTTAAACAGTCTGCTTGCCTAAGCACTTTTGTGCATTGTCAGCCAGTGTGCCGCTTGTAGGTGCATAGCCTTACATACTGCAGTAATCGCCCTTAAGCTCTCCACAGACTTCTTATCAATGATGCAGAATCAGTGACACTAAAGATTTAAGTCATCTTGAACTCATAGTGGATAGGTGTCACATAAAGAATTGTTAAAATTTCAATACGAACAAACTGACAGAAAAAAAATAAAAAACAGTGTACAAAAGTTCCTGAGGACACATAAGTAGATGGTCCATTTCAATGTAGAGCAACATGGACACACACAACTGTCAGACACAAAACCTCACTTTACCCAGTGATGGCAAAATTTACATCACTAGGAGTCATGCATAAAAAGATGCGGAAAACAGGTAGATAAAAAAAAAAAAGAAAAGCAACTGTAGCATAAGTTCTGTGGGGGAAAGTGCTCTTCCTTCTAGAAGTTATGGCAAAGGCTGATCAGGCCCACATGTAAGCGTGACAAATGGAGCAGTTCTTTTATATATATATATATATAAAAAAAAAAAAAAAAAAAATATATATATAATATATATATCTACTGTAATTGACCACTCAAGGCACTTTCATACAACTTGCCTCATTCACCCATTCATATGGGCACTTTTTATTTTCTTAAATGGAAGTGCTTTCTATCCAACTTTCACACATTCTTACGAGCAACTTGGAGCCCAAGGATGATTGGCACGCAGACTGGAACAGACAGGGGATCGAACCACCAACCTTTATAGGGGACCTGCTCTACCTCCTAAGCCACAGCCACCCCAAACAACAACACAGAAACTGTGAATTATTTAATACAAAAATTTCCATGACAACAACTCATCCGTGACCCTCTGTGTTGTGACAAAACTGTTTGATAGTTGTTTAAAAAAAATAGAGAGAGAGAATAAAAAGTTGGTGGTACTCAAATGGAATCGATACAGAACTCTCCCTTTGTTATTATTAGCCTTCAGCTTCCATATAGCATACTTTATTTCCTTAAGTGCATATTGAGGGAGGACAATGAGGAAGCCCTTGAATCTAAGTGGCCTAACTGAGTCTGTGTGCAAGGTGGATGTAAATTGCTTGGTGCTAGATCATCAGTAGCACTGAGCTGGCACCTCTCTGGAGCTTTGAGCCTTCTTCTCATAAACACTATCTCACGCCCAACTCAACAAATGGATTTCCAGATAAGCTAAGAGGCTTGGTCCTGCTGAAAACCATTCAGTATATTTATGATGCTCTGTGTTTATGGAAACCAGGGGGCCACCCTGCTCTGGAAAACACTAAAGATGATGAGTGTTATCTGTGCTTCCCCTAGATTATCTGCTATGGTGGTGTGACAAAACGTTAGCCCCCTTCCTTCCCCTGCCCGACCAAAATTACTCCAAGCGTGCATTGACGATTCAGTTAAACACAGAGTTCATGATTCAACAATAAGAAAGAAACTGGCAAAACTGGATTCCATTTCTGCCAGTTTCTTTCTTATCAAGGACAAAACCGCTGCTGACCAAAAAGAAGACAAAAGCTTGTCTCACTTTTGTCAAGAAACATCTTGATGATCCCCAAGACTTTTGTCCCATTAAATCTGGTATTTCAGGAAAGGAACATCATACCAACAGTGAAACATGGTAGTGGTAGTGTGATGGTTTGGGGCTGTTTTGCTGCCTCAGGACTTGGAAGACTTGCTGTGGTAAATGGAACCATGAATTTTGCTATCTAAGAAAACATCCTCAAGGAGAATGTCTGCCCATCTGTTCGGTTGTGCAGCAGGACAATGATCCAGAACACATTAGCAAGTCCACCTCTATGGCTTAAGAAAAACAAAATGAAGACTTTGGAGTAGCCTAATCAAAGTCCTGACCTGAATCTGATTGAGATACTGTGGCATGACCTTAAAAAGGTAGTTCATATGAAAAATCAGGAAGGGGGCAAATACTTTTTCACACCACTGTATATGTCACGGGCATTTATGTATATCTGCTCATTCTATTGCTTCATTTCTATGCAAAGATCACCATAGCAGCATAAAGTATTTTAGAGCCAAAAAAGCTTTCAGACCTGCCAAGTCTGGCCAGAGGAGGCTGGGCGAGCATCAAGGCTTACGATCTGATCATCTTAAAAAGGTTTTATAGATGGTGTACAATAAATAAAGTATTTTATTAATGAAAATAAATTAGTCAAAGTTTGATTCAGTATGGCGAGTTGCACCTTGAAAGACCTCTACCACTGCCCCCAATTGAACAAACAGGGATCTCAGTGTGTATAAACTACAGCTAAACATCTAAATCTAAATCAGTACCTGTTCTGCGCAGTGAAGGTCTCTCTCTGAGGATGGAGGCCGCTGTACACCACTCTGATCAGGTCATGTTGACAGAGCGCTCCCTCTGTCAGTGCCATTGACCCCAGGCTAGAAGGCTATAAAGAAAAACAGTTCATTAAACATTTCCCAGCTGTGGCACCTTTATAGCATGACAGTAAATGATAAATGGCCCTTTTCTTTGTTTAAATGGAAAACTATAACAAAACTTTGTGGAAACGTGTTGAGAAAAATGGAAGAACCAGACTAGGTTTACATGTCACAAAAACAAACTGTGGGGACAGTAGAGACAAAGTAATCCAGCTTGTTCATGGCCTGATGTCGTAATTTTTGTTGTTTTGTTTCATTCTCTTTATTTTTATTATACAAAAGAAAGTAAGTCTTCACAAAAATTACCCGAGTTAAATTTGTTCATGTATTAGTTCATACATATCATGACAGAAAGCATGACTACTGAACAGTCGGTAAAGCCAATGACTCCTTATTTGACCATTTCATCAAATACGTCATATACTTAAATGGATCAAATCAACAAAACTTGTTCAAAAAGAATTGTTTTTGAATTCTCTTTAGCTAAAAACTCTGAAGGGCACCAGAAATCCTGCAATATTGTGGGGAAAAAAATTCTATAAACAGAGCACTTGTGCATTCATGATCTTGTCATCATACTGATCATAAGACAAGACAGCAGAATTTGCTGTGTGGATCTGCTGTGTAGTTTCGCTGACCAAAATCCAAAGCCTTCAACCTCAATTATACAACATGAATTAGCATGTCACGTGGCCTTAAGGATAGTTTTATATCCTCAGCAATGTGACTGCTATATGGTCTGACATGGTTTAACTTCCTATTTTAATCCTTGCCCTGTTACAGATCTGATATCTCTAGGTTACCATAAGCACAGAGGATAAACTGAATAACCAAGGTGTATTTCGCTGTCCAGCACTGTGTCATTCCAGAGACAAGCTAAGGTATTCAGGTTAACAAACAAAGTCATCTTAAATCTTCATGTTGAAATAAAAAGAGGAAGAGGTAACGACCGAATGCGTGGCCTCTTTGGCTATGTCCAAGTGAGGATGTGTCACAAGGCCATTTTATTCTGATGGTGTGCAGACCAAAAGTCACCTCTAAATTGAATTGATATTCTGTCCTAGGTATCTTGTGTGACACTGAGCAGAGAAGGCGAGGCAGTGGCGCTGAGAAAAAACAAAAAGCAAGTGAGCGGAGTGTATGCTAATGCTGGAGGCCAAGGGATAAGGCCACGTGACGTGCAGAGCCGTACTACAGCTGAGGAAGCTTGTTGTGACTCACACACACACACACCACTCACTCACTCACTCACTCTCTCTCCTCCATGCTTTCTTCACTCTCTCAGCATGGAGGATAGAGCCTTTCAAGCTTATAATTACAGCAATAAATCGCCCTCAGCACATGCTACACACTCAAGTCTCATCAACACTCGCACGCACAACTCAGAGACAAGCACCTACTGAGGGCTGTCACTCTGTGCTATGAGGAGTAAAAAAGGCTCTAAAATCTGGCTATGAGCTGCCAGTAAACAGTCGGTATGTCCTTTAAAACCTCTTGGTAATGGAATTCCAGGTCAAAGCAACAGTCAATACTGTGCCTGTTGTAGCAGACAGGTCAGCGTTTGCACGAAGCCAGCGTGACGGTGACAGCGACCAAAAGCGACTCAAACACAAAATGAACGAAAGTTGAAATGCTCTCATTTTAAAATCAAAGAAATCGACAAGTGCATAAATTGTTAAATCTTTTCTTATTAGATTTTTGAAAGACACAGATCTGGCAGAGAGGGACTAACACATACAGACAGCTAACTCCTCAAGGTGATGTTAATGAAAAAAAGACCTGCAGTGCTGGGATGTTGAGCTGCCACCTTCTAAATAGCCATTTAAGTAAGTCCTTCTGCAACTTGCAGAGTTGCAGTGAAGAGAGGCTTACCTCATGATATATCGATGGTTTGGAGAGAGATGGAATAGTGAAGGAAAGGAGCTTGCTGTTGCCATCTTTGTCCACGATTTCCTGCAAACCCAAAGAAACAGAGAAGGTGTGTTACTGAAGGAATGCAGGTTTGCATTTGAAACAATGATTCTGATACTGTGAGGTGGGCCTGCTCTGTGGGACATCCACAACCTTTTTTTTTTTTAAATCAGCTACAGAATTAGGTATAGCAAACAAAATTTGAAAACCACTAAGAATAGCCTTGTACACAGTTAGAAATAGCTTGATCTTTGTGGCATAGTGCAGTATCCTGCTGGAAGCAGCCATCAGAAGATGGGTACACTGTGGTAATAAAGAGATGGACAATGTCAGGAAAGCCAACAAGGTCCAAACTGTGCCAAAAAATATCTTCCACTCTATTACACTAGCAGCAGCCTTAATACAAGACAGGTGGATCCCTGCTTTTCATGTCGTTTACTCTAAACTCTGGCCCTACAGTCTGAATGTTGCAGCAGAAATCAAGACTTATCAGACCTGGCAACATTTTTCCAGTCTTCTATTGTCCAGTTCTGGTGAATTGTAGCCTCAGTCCGTTCTTAGTGGAGACAGAACGGACACCTAGTGTGAATGCCTGCTGTTGCAGTCCATCTGTTTCAATGTTCAACATGTTGCATGTTCAGAGATGCTTCTCTGCATACCTTTCTTTTAATGAGTGGTTATTTGAGTTTTTGTTGCTTTCATGTCATTCTGAAGCAACCTACAATGCCGGTCACTGCATAGTTTCTCTTTTTCTGAGCATGTAAACACTAGAGATGGTTGGTTGGGAAAATCCCAGCTGTTTCTGCAATACTCAGACCAGCCGTATGACATCAAAAACGCCAAAAGTGTCACATTCAGAGTCACTTAAATCACATTGTTCCACATCCTGGAACAATGTGATTTAAGCACATTTAAGCAGGTCATCTTCATCATTTCTACATGCCCAAACGCTGCCATGTGATTGGCTGATTAGATATTTGTAAGCAACTGAACATGTGTACTTAAAGAAGAGGCTGATGAGTGTATATTAAGCTTTTAAATGTGATTTTTTTCCCTCTGTGGTGGTTAAGGTGCAAACATTTATCAGTACTGTTGTAGAACCGCCTATCACGCACGCGGTTAAGCCTGGTGTTCGTCTATTCTGCTGGCAGATTAAATGTCACTGCCAGAACCGGTGCCACTCAATTCCAATTTCACACTGCGATGGGTTGCACAAAGATTAACGCTTCTCTGAGAATGATGCCATTTCTACAAGTAATACCTGATTATCTGTGTTCCTGATATATATTAAAAAGAGGAAAAAATAAACATTTACGGATGTACATGAGAACATTTGTGAAACTTTCTCATTTCCCAGATTTATCCTGAAATTCAATTATGAGCAACTCAATAGGACTCAAGTGGCTATTACATGTGAGCATGACGGACACTGTTAACAGAATGAGTAAAGTTGAGACAACTTTTCTTGTTTCAGTTTGATCTCTCCCCCCATCCCCCTTACACTAATCAAAGTGGTGAGCTTTTCTGGTTTTTCAGACAATCTTTCTTATCTGCACTTCTCCTTGAATTTGTTGTTGATTCATGCCTTGGTGTGCCCTTCACTGGGTAACAGTACATCTCTGAATATCTTCGGCGACTGCTGAAAGCAAGGCTGTTTATCAAGGAGAAGTCATCGCTGAAGACAGGCAAGATGTCAATGAGCACGAGCAGTATGTACCTATGCGTGTGTGTGTAGGGTGAGTGGTATAGACTGAGGGATGAATTATGCATGGATATACCCTTAGCTCTGCTGGCTGTCATGGAGCTCTTTCTATTGATATCTCAAGCTCTTAGCACATTTCCCCAGGGGTGTTTCCTGGTGATGCAATCTATCTGCGCTCGTCCCATTATCCAGGGTTTTCCCTGTAGGTCGTCTTTCAAGTCAACAGACGTTCAATCTTAACAATGTTTCACTTGTATTAGATCTAAAGCACCTGTGATTTCCATTTAAAAAATGCACTTTCCCACATTCTTATCCAGGGATAGCTCAGTAGGTAGAGTGGTGGCCCCATGATCGGAAGGTCGGGGGTTCGACTCCACTGAACGGCTACCCTGAGGTACCCCTGAGCAAGGTACCGTCCCTACACACTGCTCCTCGGGCACTGCACTGGTGGCTGCCCACTGTTTCACTGGGTGAATGGGTTAAATGCAGAGGAACTATTTCCCTATGGGGACTAACACGCACACTTTACTTTACACTTTATCCATTTAAATGCATCTTAAGAATTGTAAAGGCTCAAAATAATGCAACGACCTATATTCATCCATATAACCCTATAGCAGTCTAGTCACACCTCACAAATTAACTTCTGCCAACGAGGTTATGGGTTAGGAGGATTACTTGAAACCTTAAGTCTGGATCAATCAACTTTTGACTACTGTGAGACAAAGTGTTGATGTTCTCACAACTACAAACTATTACAATCAGATTCATGCTTGGCATGGTGGGGAAGCTTTAGCTTTGGCAGAGATATCCCTTTATGGATGATGATGTTGTAAGAGCAGTCGTCAAACTAGAACCAGGACACCTAATAAGCAGTACTCAAAACTGAGGAGGAAAAAAAGCTCAGCAGCAAACAGAAGATACTGGTTATGTTTGCAGGGTAAGCAGTTGACAGATCACGTGAAGGGTTTAACAGTGTGAAACTGGACACTGCAGCCACCCTTGCTCCATATTTCAGAATGAGTCTGTCCCTGATTCTGAATTTTGACAGTCAAATCACATTTGGCAGTTCACTGTGAAGATTTGAATAGTCGTTGCTTGTTTGTTTTTACTGTCGGGATACCACATGGATTTGTTGAATTAATGATCCAGGGAGCATTTCAACATTTCGGTTTTTTAAAAAAGTCCTTTAAGGCTAAATTGTATTTAACTTTTAACAATTTGCAAATGAGCCTTAAACAAATGAAACAAAACAAAGATATTAGCATTGCCTGCTAAAAACAAAATAACTGAAATCTCTGTTCAAGTTACTTCACGGCTGATTGCAGGAACTCTACTGGTATGCACTGCAACACTTTATGGTGGACCTGGTTATCCACAAGGTCGCGTTTAAGGCTCAGCCAGTAACAAGACCATCGCTCTGCATCGGGCATGCTACTGTAACCAGACCCAGAAAGGTGAACACCTACCAAGTTATAAATGCCCAGAAGCAGGGCCTCGATGCAGCCATTGCTCTGACGATCCCTGCTGGCAGTGATGCGCAGATAAACCCACACCAGCTCGGGCAGGAACTGCAGGGTGAAGCGTCGCAAGCGGTCTTCGGAGCTCCGGTACAGCTCGAACAGCTGGTGGCACACAGGCTCCAAGAGCTGGATCACAGATGGAAACAAGAAAATGCAAATTAACAAATTAACACGAGGTCTGACACCTTACTGGAATTTACACCATGCTTGTTAGACTCTCCCAATAAGGCAGTAAACAAAACTAAATATGGAAACTGAACTGTATTTTTCTGTATATAAAATGTTTAATCCATTTATATTTAACCCCAATATCATAAAAACCAATAAAAGCTGTCATTAATACCGTTAACACAAAACAAAAACAGTTTATAGAACATCTAAAATGGTCCTCTTTATTTTTGTTATACGGGGGTGTATTTTTAAGCTCCTGGATGCTCATATTAAGCATAGCCAAGTTTCATCAATGAGGTAGTTTCTTCCACTGGCTCCGTATAATGCTGATGAGAGACAGTATCCTTCTCCACCTGCTGTTCAAACCTTCTGTCTGCGAGGAACAGCCAGTAAGATAAAAGCTAGCTTCAAGGGAGGGTGGCTTTAAAGGAAGAGGAGCTAAAACAGCTCGTTTCAGAGAAAGAATGAACTGCTGGGATGCACCAATGCCTGGTATAAGATATAAAGACCTATAGAGTTAAAAATGAGCATAATAGGTCCACTTTAAGATAATTAAATTCATGGAAATGTATGTCTAGGTTATATTAAAGAACAATAGGTTCAGGATGACTGCTATAAACTGCTATAAACTATTACCTCCCATTAGCCTCAGCAGCAGCCTTTTTAATAGCCTGCAGAAATGGACTCACATAGCTCTCGTTTCAAAACATGAACGAACGCCATTGTAAACGTAACACGACAGAATGGACAGATGGAGGGAGAGTCTCGCTTCCAGTTGATAGTGCGAGATGCATAGAAGCAGAGGGGATAATTCACTACAACGAAAGCCTCGGCAGATGTAGTGTCAGGGGAGGCCAGCTGAGCCACAGCGTTTATACAGTCCAGGGGTCAGTGTGAGTGAATGCCCACACAGCACGACTGTGTAAGTGTGTTGTACATGGCTGACTGGGGAAAAAGGCGGCAAAGAACTTGGCAAGGCATTTGCCCTTCATGTCCTCAGCTTGACAACAAAAAACAACAGCAACAAAAAAACATGCAAAATTCAAGCACATTACACTCTCCCCTACTTTATCTCTCACACACAGACATGCATGCACTCCTCAATCACTTGTGTCATCATTAATGGGATTGTGCAGCCAGACTGACAGCACTAATGGAAGTTAGATCCCTAGTTGCTTGACACTCAAATTCGACCGTGAAATCGAGGTGAAAACGGGGCCAGAAAGAACTGGAGGCACCAAGTGTGTCATTAGAGCCAAATTAAAGTCCTCTCTCATTGAGTACCTCGGGCCTTTGCTTAGAAACTGTGTCATTAGGTCCCTTTAAAGTACAAAACACCGGTCTAGCTGTGCAGGTGCAAGAAACATCTGCTTAGTAAGAAAAAGATATTGAGGTGCTTGGGCACTGCGGTGACTGTGTCTTTTCCAGCTTTGGCTGCGGACGCTTTAGTTTGTTAGGCAAAGCACTGCATACAGGGAACACAGTGTACCGTCTCACAGGCAACGCAGACGGCACCGCCATTGTGCCTTCCATCATACACAACAGCAGAGTGTGTTGCGGTGTGCATGTACGCCCTGCAGACACGGCTGTGTGTCAAGTTTTTTTGCTCAGTGCCAACAGAAACAACATCATGACTCACAAGCAGCACATTTCCTTGAGCTAAAAACCATCCGTCTGCATGTGCGCGTCCTCCATGTATTACCTCGTTGTTGGGGTCCTGGATGACTCTGTAGAGAGCTGGGACCAAGGACTTCTTTAGATGAAGGCTGCCGGCGTAGCTGGGGATGTGGGTTTCTGGTAAGGACTAAAGCAAGGAGACACAAAGGACTGTTGAGTGATGCAAACAACTTCTACGTCTAGCCACAAAACTAGAGAACAAGTAAAGACTGTGTGTAATTCTACATCCTGTATTCAATTGTTTCACAGCACACAGTGACTTAACTGTGTGTCAGCATGCTGTGACATGTAAGAAGTCCCTTGATTAAAAATGGAAGCATCAAAAAAAGACTTGAAAAGATTGACTTCCCCAGTCGATGAGTTTGACAATGTGGTAGGTGAAGTAAGAAAAGAAAACTTTTAGGAAAGCATAGCTTTTTGATAAAATAACTCTGAACCTAACAGATTGATGATGTCTGACATCCTCAGAACATCCTGGGGTGAAATCCTTCAAATGGTCAAGATCGTGTTTTGTAGATGACAGACGGCAGCTATAGCCTCTCAGCGTGAGAGTATGATCATTTTGAGGGCAGAACACAATGTGCCTGGTCTGCACCACCATGAGTCATACCATTCTATTCTCATCTTTCCTCCTTTCTCTAGTTTTCTGCTGTCTTTTTCCATTCCTCTTAATGTACTGCACATTATTTCCTTCTTTTTAGCTCGTCATCACCTTTGCACTTTTCTGTTTTGTAAATGTGCTGAACAGACTTTTGCATCAGATTTATGATTGCTAAGGTGACAGAAACTTTGTGGCCGTGTCATAACGGTTTAATGCACTGTACAAACCACAGTGCTTAAAGGAACCCATTCCTTCTTCACAGAATGAGAAAGAAAAGTGACATAAACACTTTTTTAAACTAGTCTGGAACACCAAGAGTGAAGCAACATTTATTATTAATTAATTACAGTCAACTAACTACTTCAACTGAAACACTACAAATACCAGCACCCCCCCCCCAAAAAAAAATCATTTGCATTGCCTACTAGCCAAACTGTCTTAACCAAAATTTTACTGAGTGGGGTCATTTGTGTATATTTTGCATGCCACTGTGATATTTTTAAAGCTATTTTTTCATTACAAGAATATGAATGAAAAAAATAATGAGACGCTTGCTAGCCTGCTATTGTAGTCTTTAGCCTTTTAGATTTGCTATTTGTATTGTTAAAAAAAAAAAAAAATCAATTGTTGAGATAATATTAGCCTTTTGTCACTAATAGCTGACAATGCAGCTGAGCTTAAATCTATACTGGAAATGACAAGCGGCACTGTGCAATACATTGAGAAACCGCAAACACAGAAAAACTATTGTTAGCGCTTCACAATTAATGAGTATGTGAAATTGCTTTCAGTATCTACTAGCATTTACAAGAACATGAGGACATGAGGCTGGAACAGCAACTCTTGCACTGTTCTTATATAAAAGCTAACTGATTACTGAAAGCTGAATAATCCCATAATTTATATGCATCATAAAAAAAAAAAAAAAAAAAAGGAAAATAAAAATGTATGTGAAAACATGATGAAGCAGATATAAGCAGCTACTTTGCTTGTGAGTTCAAAGAACAAACTATGCACAGTACATTTTGTGTAGTACAGAGAGGTTATGCTGATTAAACACAGCTGACGATAGGCCCAAGTTGACCTAAGCTAGCCACTGTTCTTGCTAGCGTTCACTACATTTAATTAGAATTTACAAAGGACTGAAATGTTAACGAGATGACAGATGCACACAGTTTTTACTCTCAACACTCTTCGCCACAGCTGTTACACACACAGTACGCAGTTCCTCTCTCGAAAAAAAAAAAAGAGAGAGAAAAAAAATAGCCTCCAGGAGTAGATTTCATAGTTATGACTCATGAATGAGAGTAGCGCAATCGAGGGCCTTTACCTTGAATTCTGAGAGCCATTCTTCGACAACACTGCGTTCTGAGCCCAGCATCTTCCTCAGAGACACCCCCCCCTTTGGCTGCCTGGTGGACAAACAGAGGCAGAGGAAGGTGGTGGGTACAGTAATGGGAAGGGAGAAAGGAAAACACAGGAGGAGAATGAAGACAGCAATGTCAATTTTATTTACAAGGAACCTTTCATTACACATAACCTCAAGGTGCTTACTAAAGAAGATAACATAAAAAAAATATGTAGTTTACAATGTCTTAAGGCAATAAACAACACAACAAAACTTCCCAAAGATTTCAAATACAGAACAGGCAAGTGTATGTACTCCACATAAGTATGAAAATATCCAAGCTGTGACTAAGCCCAATAAAAACCAGGCTTAGTAAAAGCTGTGCTTGGTGCTTTTTGGGCTTCCTTATTAAACAAAGTCCCATCTGTTTCTCGATAACAGCTAACATTTAGATTTAGATTTTTCAGTGATAATGAAGGTCAAAAACAAAAGCTCTTTCAGGCAACTCATGTTCATATGTATTTAATAGGACATTTGTATTTTTCACTAGAAAATGAATGTCATTTTTTTCTGGAAGTGTTACCACATAACCAGCTTCTAACCAGGTTAAATCTTCAGTGTAACCTAAATCGGCCAGATAAAAAGAGAGCTACTTTAATGACACGGAACTCTTCATTTAAGCTCAACATAACTAACCAACTAGTTGTGTACTACACACTGGTGATTTTCCTTTGGTGTCAGGTCAAAAGCTCTCTGGTGTGTGCCAACATTTGATTTTATATGCAGGGGGGGAAAAAACAAAAACAAAAAAAAACTCTGTACAGTGCAAAGGCAGTACCCCAGAAACCATTTACCTTGGCCTGTGATTATAACCCAGCAACAGCAAAAAAAAAAAAATCATTCTGAAAGACAACATTAAATCTCATGGGTTTTGAAATAAACAATCAAACATGAAACACAGTGATGCTAAGTGCACATCAGTTCCAGTTAACACAAGCGGCAACATATAAAATCAGCAGCATGCTGTTCTTATCCTCATTACAATGTTATGTAACAAGTCAGCTCGGAGCCAGTACCTGTCACTGCAAACATGAACCACCACAGGAATTCCTTTGAGCTTTCACTCTACAATTCAAATCATAGATGACGAGCTCATGTCTTCTTTCATATATTTGTAACGTCAAAGAACGTCACAGAGCAGAACGATATGGTGGTTAAAAATGGCGAGGGTTTTTAACATTTACAAACAGGACATTTTCTAGCTTGTAATTCATAAAGAGAAATGAGTAATGGGATAGCATCTTCGGCTTCGGCCGCACAGTTATCCTTGGTTCTCTTCTCCATTTCCAGCAGCTAAAATTAACTTCAGCAAACTGTGCAAAGCCATTTCTCCTACAGAACTCACCCCATGGAAAATATATTCTCATTATTTATCCCGTGAAAAGATTTGCTATGAACGAGACGTGTGTCTCAGCAAGGGAGAGGAACTGTGTGTGTGTGTGTGTGGATTGGCTGAGTGAGAGGTGGTGAACAGTCACAGGCAGTGACAGTTTGGATACACACCGAAGGTGATGTTGCATGGACCCAGTGTGCCAAGCTGCCACAGTGACAGAAATAAACAATACTTATGTAACAGCAGATGCCCTCTGCAGCTTAAAATCAAGGCCATCCTCTCTCTTGATTTGACACCAATGCCCTTCACCAAAGACTACCAGGATTAATTTACCATCACTAACCTTTAGGAAAGCTACTAAGGCTACGTTCACACTGCAGGTCCTAAAGCTCAATTCCGATTTTTTGATCAAATCCGATTTTTTGGTCTGCTTGTTCACACTACAAATAATCTGCAGATTATACAATACAAATAAAATGTTCACGTTTCTCCAACGCTGTCTCCCCACAGTTTCACTAACATCTACACGGGATGGCCAGGAAGCGTTCGCAATGTCTTTTCGGGCGCTTCTCTGGCGCTGATAATTGGTGTCTGTCTTGTGTCAGTGACATAAAAGATGGATTTAATGCGACATGACCGTTCAAACAGCAGTCGCTTTCTAAAACATCAGATATGTATTGGATTCAGTACCACATACGAAAGTGACCCAGATCGGATTTGAAAATATCGGATTTGTGCTGTTCACACTGTCATGATCGGATATGGGTCGCATAGGGTCAAAAAAGTCGGATTTGATGTGCTTTCGCCTACAGTGTGAACGTAGCCTAAGAAGAATTATTGCTTAACAAGAATGACAATTAGTCTGACTACTCTCACAACCCAAAGATACACTGTAACATTAAGTTAAAGATGCTGTGCTCTTTCACGTCCACATCCACTTTAATGGCTCTTTAATTGTATTTTAGTAGAAAGACTTTTTTTAAACTAAAAACAAAATTCACATTGCTTATTAGGTCTTGTAAAACCTATTTACTGGCTGAGCTGTGGTCAGACTTTCTGCGAATATGACTCAACATTTAACATAACATCAGCTCGGCCCAGTGCTTTTTCTAGGAAAAACCTCTGAGTCTTCTTTAATGATCTTGTTACTTCGAGGACACTGAACCTTTCTAAAAACTCACTGACGTCTCCTTCCACCAACCTCTGGTGCTAGAGCGCTGTCTGTTTTGCCCTGGTGCCTTTTGAAAACGAACCCACATTTCTGTGGGAGTGAAAAACCGAAAGGTGCTCAGTGGAAATTGGCAAAATTTAAATGACGAGGAAAATCATGCTGGGAAGAATCTGTACTGCATCTGTGAATTATCTGTGAATTTCTCACAGCAGTCACTCCCAAAGTGACTTATGTCAGTGATTCTAGCTGTGGGGCCAGCAATTTTGCGATGTTATGCCTCTTACTGGCACAAAAATGCAGATTCTAAATTAAGCACTGGGCGTGGGGGTGGGGTGGGGGGGGGGGGAGTGTTACTTCACTCACGTACACTAAACAGTAAAATGTTTTTCTCCCTTCCTAACAATATAGAGGTTTATTTATTTGTCAGGCATTCAGCATTTGTTTGGCTTTTCCCCACTTAATTCGTGGTCAGTGAACTTGACCCCTGGAGTCTTTTACAGCATTTGAATGCAGATATCTTGTAAATTTCAGCCCATGCAATAGGTTTGTGCCTCAGTTTTGGTGAAGGTGTGGTTTCAGTATTTTCTTTTTTTTGCTGTTGCTTACCACTAACTTGCTGATAGATACGTTTAAATGTGTCATGTGGTCTAAATATGGTGACTTCTGGCCAACGTAAATATACCCAAAACACTAACACACTCCAACACAGTAACACATTAAGTGACACCATTGCCGTCTCCATTTATACACGTGTATGGTGCTGACCACACTCTCAATCGCTCGGTCTTCTGCTCCTGCCTTGTCACAAAAACGTGCCCCCACAGAATGCGACATGTGATAGCAGAGAGTTGCAAATAAACTCATTACAGCTGCATCTGGGTCAGTGTACTGAGATAACACTCTAAAATGTGCAAGTTAACAGAACTGAAAAAGTTCATAAAAACAGAGATTATGCAGGCAGTTACGGCACACAGTACTCTTTAGATTCAACAGCTGCGTGTGGGCAAATTTGGAAATATGCATAAAAATGACTTTGTCAGACAACTAGATTTAGCAAAAAACTGCTTTTATCTTGTAAGCCTGAAACATTGTAAGACTACATGTGCACAGTCCCACTGCTCACACTGACAGTAAGCCATACTGCTGTGAAACCCCTGTTTAATCTTATTCGTTAAACTCGAATCCTTCCAGGCCAGAAAATGGGCACAAACTCTAAGGCCTGTTTGAATGTACATGCTTTTTTTTTTTTTTTTTTAAATTTAGACCATTCTGCACAGTTTAAATAAAATATAATTAAAAACAAAACTGTGTTCTTCCTGCCAACAGATACAGACACCAATAGCTGGATAAAATGAATCAAATGTGGAAAAGCTCTCAGTTGAGCTTCTCTTTTTTAAATCTACATTTTGATACCAAGCTCATCTTCATACTTTTACATTTTAATAGCCACAAATGTAGCTTATTGCTGTGAAATAGAAAGAAAAACTGTTATATAGAACATCTAAACACCAGTGTGGACACTGATGAATCTCTAGGTCCTGAATTAGTTGTTGCCGTTTGTTTTTTTTAAATACTTAAAATGTGAAGGTTCACAGAGGGTCTCAGGATCAATAGAGCTGCAGATGAGAACTACTGACACTAATCACAAGGAATAGGATGTTCCCCTTTAAAGTTTAGTAAATTAGGTACAAGGAACAACTTGTGCCAAAAGAAAATTTTCACAAGCTAATCAGGCAATTTAGAAACAAACTGCAAAGAGAGCACCAATTGTTTAACAAATGAAAAATGGGCAATTAATTTTCCCCAGGGCTCACATGTTTTGGAGGGTCCCACCAATTGGCTTATAAAGAAATAAAATGAAGACTTCGCAGAATTGAGTTTAGATTATTGGTGCAGTCTTCCACAGTAGTCTCAGTTTCTCACATGGCCCTTTGAGAAAAATTAAATAAGCGGGTCAGGTTAGATGCACAAGTGGATTTTCTATGGAATGACCTTGATAGCATTAATCAATGCTAAGAAAGCAAATGATCTGTAATCAACTCTCCTTAATTCAAATGTTTTTATGCAATACTTAATTACTTCACTACCTGTAACCTGTCTGTAACTTGTCCGTAACCTGAGAGTTACAGATCATTCCCAATCATGTGACTTTTGTTGACAATAAACAATTTAAATAAAGTTTCGTCTGGCTACTTATTAATACAGATATCATTTGTTTGCACACTGGTCAAAGAGTTTCACAGCTTACAACATGTCTTCCTCCAACTGTACCTCTCAGTCTTTATTTTAAAAATGAACTGCAGACAGACGTGTAGAAGCAGAACATCCACATCCAGAGGCTAAACTTTAATGCACAAATCTCAGGGTGCTGCAGATAAGCTTGACAATGTTACAAAACAGGCTCAAAGGAGAAAGATATCTGATTTGCTGCAGGGCTGCAGGAGCTGAGCAGATGATGAGATGAACTGGTGGAATTTTGTGTGTGTGTGTGTGTGTGTGTGTGTGTGTGTGTGCGCACTTCTTAAATCCGAGTCTGTGAATTGAAAGGCTCTCTTTTAGTCAGCTTGTTCGGCTCTTTATGAGGCTGACTCATTTGTTTCCTCCGGCTTGTCAAACCATCGCAGAGTCGCTGAGGCAAGCTTGTCAGTTACCATGGGAACAATAGTCAAGTCCTTTTCAGCCACTGGTAAATATTCCCAAATAATAACTCTTCGTTTTCACAAACATAATTTAGATTATATCGCTGTAAGTCAGAGGTTGGATACAACGCAACATAATGTGTGCCAGCATTTGTTCTCCTTCGTATGTCTTTAGCACCGCAATGTTAAAATGGTTTTCAAAGAAAATAAGCAGAAAATGATCAAGAAACGAGCAATGAACAAGACGGTCATGAATATCAACACTACAAACAATGTGAACAACATAATGCAGTATACATCTATGCACTTACCTCAGTGTCCCAGAACTCAAATCTCCGCTGGGAGATGCAAATGGTTCTCCACAGTGTCACACATCTGTCACTCACTGAGGGTCACCTGCAACAACAAGAAAAGAAGAGACCCATCAATCACCATCACAGGAGAATCATCCTCAAGACATTTAACTACAGTCGTACTGTTTAAAATTACTGTCGTCGATGATGGTGAACAGTGTCTATCCATAATTTCCCCAGAGATTTCATAAATGTGTTTGACCCATCTTTGCTGGCATTGGCTAGAATTTAAAAAAATTTAAACATTAGTGCTATCCTCATTAGAAACTGACATCCAAACAGACGATGCAGTGTAAGCAACATGCTAGTCAGTCAAGCAAGTAACTTGGGGTGACACAGAATAAATCAATGTAGGAATGGAAATTTCTGAAATGTTAGCAACCTTTAAACAGCCCCATTTTTATCACTTAAATTTTTAGTTTAGTTGCTTTTGTTTAGAAACACCTGTGTATGGCTTTACAGATGTCACAATTCAATTCATCCATCCATTCGCTTCCGCTTATCCTTTCCAGGGTCGCGGGGAGTACTGGAGCCCATCCCAGCTGTCATAGGGCGAGAGGCGGGGTACACCCTGGACAGGTCGCCAGTCTGTCGCAGGGCTAACACATAGAGACACAGACAACCATTCGCACTCACATTCACTCACAGATTCACACCTATGGGCAATTTAGATTGACCAATTAACCTATCCCCACTAACTGCATGTCTTTGGACTGTGGGAGGAAGCCGGAGTACCCGGAGAGAACCCATGCAAACACGGGGAGAACATGCAAACTCCACACAGAAAGACCCCGGCCTTATGGTGGAATTGAACTCAGGACCTTCTTGCTGTGCAGCAACAATTCAATTCAATTTTATTTATATAGCGCCAAATCACAACAGTCGCCTCAAGGCGCTTTATATTGTAAGGTAGACCCTACAATAATACATACAGAGAAAAACCCAACAATCAATATAACAGGAAAATATTCTGCAAATCACAAGCTCACAAGTCCAATACTCATATGCTCAATAATCTGCCAGCCCAAATGATTATAAAACCTGGTACTAAAGGTTTGCAAAAATAAAACAACAGGGATGACCTTGCGGGGTTAATCTAATGGCCACTTGAGGCTGGCTCCAAGAGAGAGACAATCCCCACAGACTGTCATGTTAACTTTAGAGAATTGAAAAGCATGTTTACAGCCTAGTACAAAGAGAGGTTGGTCTCTATGGATAATAAACACCTTTACAACAACCTGACAGTGAGTGAATCTTTATTTTAAAACTCTTCTTGGATACCGGGGTCAGAGGCACGGCCACCTTGTCATAGGTGCACCCACAGAAGGAGCTGTAGCTATCTTTGTGCTGTTACAGCATTATAATCAAATTATACTACAAATAATAAGGCCCGCTGCCTAGGGCTGCTCAATTAATCGAATTTTAATCACGATTACGATCTGGGCTTTCAACGATCATTAAAAACGACTGAGCCGATTATTAGCCCCTCCCTCATTTATCCGCGACACCTTAAAGGCCGGTCCGTGAAAATATTGTTGGGCATAAACCAGTCCGTGGCGCAAAAAAGGTTGGAGACCGCTGATTAAGAGGACCCGAGGGAAGCTCGAAAAGCTAAGCAGAAGTTATTTGGAGAGTGACTGATGTTGGTTGAAAAGAGAGTTTAAAAAAAAAAAACTTCAGTGGTGTTGCACACTATTTTATATTATTTTTTTTAAGTCATTGTTAACCCTTTAAAGCCGGTCAGAGCTGCACGCTCCGTTTTGCGTAACTATTGTTAAATCCCTGTAGAACCTGAACCGTGTAAGCTAGCGCAATAATTTGTTTTGCATATGAAACCGGAGGAGTTGTACTTACATCTCATGCCATCAGCTTGTCCTCGGTCACGGTTTCGTTCCACATATAGCTTTGCAAAAATTGCATAAAAAGCGCTTGCAGGAACAAAAACATAATATTCCAGAAACACGCTTTGCCGTTCCTATCAGCTGTTCGTAACACTTCCCACAGTGAAATGATGCACATGCTGTTTTCTTTGCAAATTTGCATCATAGGATTGTTTTTCGTTTTTCCTGCAATATATAAAAATTGCTGTATCTCCAAAATAAAACTATGAAGACACTCAAAATAAATTTCCTGTGGTGGGAAACTATTTTTTGCAACTTTATTGTATTTAAAGTTTTGAGGGATAAACCTCTTAAATTTCTCCAAGTAGAAATATATATAAACAAAACAAAAGCGATTTTCAATTTTTTTTGTAGTTTATTGCACTTTTTTTGCAATTTATGTAATTACTATGGACTTAATGCATACATATTATTAAAATATGGGCTATAACAGTTGTATTGATGTATAGCAACTTGAAATGCTCCCACAAATGGCACTACAGCATGTAAAAAAATAATATAAGCTCTGGTGGAGATGGTTCTATAGTAGGTCTTAAAGGGTTAAATAAATATCGTCAAATAATCGTGATCTCAATTTCAGTGAAAATAATCGTGATTATCATTTTTGCCATAATCGAGCAGCCCTACCGCTGCCTTATATAAACTGTACAAGATGTTTTTGCTGAAGTTTTGATGAGTTAAAATTTTGTATTTATTAATCTGCTGTCTAGCACTAATTAGGCTTTTGTTCATAAAATGGTAACAGTTCCAAAATAGCCCACGGTGCTGACCAAAACACTAATGGCTTCAAAATACCTAATCCGTAACTACCCAGGGTCGCCTTGGTTACGACCGCCTTTATAATATCTATGGCAAAAAAAATAAGATTCAGTTAACAATTCATTTTAATCAACATGTCAATTGTTTTCCAGTGTATTGCCTGTTTGGTCTATGACACGTCTGAAAACAAAAAAGCACATCCACAAGGAGTGACGTTAAACACCCATTTTGTCCAAAAAATGTCAGCAAACTGAGTCATCAACTTGTCTTTTCTGCTCTAAAGATTGATGCTTTGTAGTAATTGCAAATAAACTCCAAAATGAGCAACAGCAAATGACTCAAGTGACTCAAATGACTCAATATGCAGTCATGAAAATGGACAAAGCAGCTGACGATACGGAAACCAGGGGGACAGTTGCTACAACAGTTCACTAAAAGACACACAGCAATTGTGAGAAACATTTCTACTATGGAGAGATGCATTACCAACAAGCAAAATAATTTCTGTGTCATAATGGAAACCCGTGTGCATTTTTCTCTAGTACTTTTGAAGGTTATTTTGAGTCACGGCACAAGGAAATTTTCAAGCTCTTATTGTTGCATAGCAACAGTCAGCTGGCCAACTTGTTGTCCTCGCCTGCTAAAAATGCATCCTGAGGATCCACACCCATAACATTTCACTGCATTTGACAAAATAAATCATTGTTTAGTGACACGCAAAAAGGCCTCTGCAGATCCCTGAGAAGCAGAAAGAGCCACATCACCGAGCGACCCATTTGCTGTTAAGTATTTCGAACACAGCCTTGTGTTTATCTGACAAAGTCTTACATTAGCAATTCATCACTAAGAGCCAAGGCAGTCCCATCTGTCTGGGATGATGTGTGTACCCTCTCCACCTATTGTAAGCTCTAAAGAAGGTGTTTATTTTCCGTCACCAGATCGAGTATATTCATTCTGTATGACTCATCAAATCTAAGGGTAACAGCGGCTCCGGGTTGAGTGAATAGATCAAAGAGAGGGACAAGGACTGAATAATAGAATACAAACAAAATCTGTGACCTAAGTAGATTACATGTACGAGGACAGAAACGTGTTATATAAAGATAAGGTTTGAAAGATTTTATCATTAGTTCTTTAGAAACAGAAGTTAGAATAGTTCCCATTAAATGTGATCACTGTGTCTCACTGACTCTATATGGTATAAAACGCAGTATCTTCAACCCCAGGGTGGGTCTATAATAGTTTTTTCATTAACATGAAAGGACTTTATCAGGCCCTACCCAACACACAAGCTGCTCAGGAATATTTGAAGAACATGACATAATCCCAAGGCATTAATCTGGCCTCCAAACTTTAAAACTTTTAAACCAGCCAATTACAACAACACAAAATTAGCTGACACTTACTTGGGTGATTCCTCCCGTCTCCAACCATCTCATTCCCATATTTGCGTGTAAACTGTGCACTCCAGCCAGCCGTCACTGTTGGCTAAATATGTCATGCACCTAATGAGGTCCCGGCCAATGACAATAGGCAAACTTTCCTTGAAGGAATGCTCTTCCTCTATGCAAGACCTGCTCATTGTCCTTTGGCGGGGCTCACAAGGGATCAGTAGTGTGCCAACCCATCCTGTTTACAACGCTTCCAATCTTGTGTCACAATTCCTGTGCTCAACACTCTGCTAAACAGTGCATACAGCTAAAACAAAACCAACTAACCAACCTATTAAACTACACTAAGTAATTTGTGCACTTTGTTCCAAGACAGACCAGTTAACACACAACACGCTCCACTGTAAATTTGCAATGAGGCAAATAAAAGTTAACATTTTATTTGAACTTTTATTTGATAAAAAACTAAAAGCTCAGCTATTCAATGGAAAGTAAAAAAAGAAAAAAAGAAGTTAATTCAGGCATGTCTGACATTAAGTACTGGAGAGCAAAGCTGCCATGTGGAAGTCTCGACTCTCATGTAACTAACAAACCCCCCAAACCCCAGTTTTAAGTTGTTCAGCCTTGTAATTCAACAACATACATTACCCCTATTACCCTAACTCAGAAGCTGCAAGGAGTCCTGCATCATTTTAGCATGTGGAAGGAGTCACAAGGGTTCACAGCAGTCGTCAGATTGCACAGTGCTACAGACATGAGGGCGGCTCCGTAAAGCTATACTAAGTTAAACGCTGATGCTTTGAAATTCAAACTTATATGTGTTTTGCTAAAGATACCAAGTTAAGATTGATTGGGATGTAAAAAGTTTTGCAGTTTACGGTGTAATAGACTAGAGTACAGAATTTGTAAAAATGGTCTGAGGACTTTTTTCTTAATATTTATAATAATCTTACTATAATGATCGTAGTGTGCATATGCATGTATACATGTCT